CAAAATGTTTGTCCCACATCGGTGGGAAAACAAAAGTTGGGGGGATTTTTCCCCTATAAAAGACGACTTAATGTTTAGGATTTAAACACACCTCTCATTTGCCTTCTCATCTGTTTAAGGCATTTGTATCTTCTCTCTTTAGTATTATTTCACTTGTATTTTTGGAGTGAAATAAAATATTGGTTGTGTCCGAGGAGTAGGCAAAATTAGCCGAACCTCGTAAATTCTGGTGTTCCCTTTATTGTTGTTTTATTGTCTTATTTATTATTTGGTGGCTGTCATAATTTTTGGTATAGTAATTGTGACTTATTCACACTATATACATTTGGCTTCCGCAACAACCTCTGCCTTCTTTCATACTTTATTGAATTGTGCGACCATTATATCTAAAAGTTAAAATTATTAGAGAGAACATAAAATTTGTTTAATTATATCTTCAACGTTCCAAGCTTTAATTCTCAGCAGACCATTTCCTTCCCCGAGCCTCTCTCAACCAAATAATTTAAAGAAGAAAATAGAAAAAATGCTAAGATGGTGTTTGGGTGTGGAATCGTCTTCGTTATGGAGCTCTTTACCCTTAATGTAGAACTTTCCAGCACAAATCTGAATTTAGTCAGTTTCAATGTAATTATAAAATACCAGGTGAGAAATAAAAATAAATAAATTATTAGTAGCTGAAACTGAATCAATGACATCATAAAGCTATGCAGAGCCACCAACACAAGAATATAACTAAGCCTCGTACCCAAATCATAAAGCTATGCAGAGCCATCAACACAAGAATATAACTAAGTCTCAGACCCGAATAAGTTGGGATATATTATAAACAAGCTAATTTGAACCAAAACTAACAAAAAAGAACGAAAGAATAACTAACTCAAATCAAGAACTATATTAAAGTCCTTTTTCCTTTGTATGCCTTAAAATTTAAAGTAATTGATGATATATTATAAACAAGTACAGATATATCTTCGAGAAGGACAAATGAAGAAAGCTTCTTCTAAAGACATGTTTCCTTTAATTTGCTCATATATTGCCTTTGTGTAATAACAATCAAACTTTCTTTCATTTTCATTCTTTTTCTGTTCTCTTAATTGTTCTTGACATTGGTTTTCTGTACGACACGAATAGTCTCGTCTAGCATACGGAGGGGACCTCAGTTGTCGGATAGTAACTACACGGACACCAATTGCTTAGCCTTACGTCGTCCTTCCAAGAAATCTCAGGAACAGGAAGGTGCCTCGTGTTGTATATAATACATCGACATTTAACATAAAATCATCGTCTTTGACAAAATTAGCTGCCCTGTGACAAGATTTTTTATAATAGGCTAACAACTACATAAAAACAAAGGGCAAAAAAGTAATCGAGCTAGTTCTATTTTCCCTACATTAATATTACAGCCAAGCCATTAAGAGGAATAATAATACGACAGATGTTGCTCATAGAAGTTTATCAATTATAGATCAACGCACTTCTTTCAAAATCTAAATTAAATTATTAAGTCACCAAGTTATTTATCACGGAAATCCGCTTAGGATTGAATATGAGAGAATTAACCAGCCTTAAGATTAATTGTTTTACCTTAAATTCAATCCTAAGTGGATTCCGTGATTACAAAAAACTTGGTGACTCATTAATTCAATTTAGATAAATCCCAAAATCGTCATCGTTATCTTCCTCCTCCTTTGCCATAGCTTGAAGTCTGAAAAATAAAGATTTCAAACAATTAATTACTCATATCTAAGTCAAGAAATCAAGGTTAAGGGAAATGAAAAAAGAAACCACAGTATTTAAGCATGGAAATAATAAGATATGATATCATATTAATAACTTATCTCAGATATGGAATAACACTGCTCATCCTCTCTATGAAGTAAAACATTCAACAATTTGTACGAAGAAGAGTGCTCTAGGATAGGGGTTTTTATAGCAAAATAAATGGCAAATCTTATAACTACTTATTAATTAATAGCCAATGATCTCTTACCTTTGATTTGACTTAATTAGATTTTTTGTAATCCACTTTTATTAATTTGTTGCATGGATTGTAATCTAACACACTCAATTTAGCGGGAATTTTTTTCAAATTTCAATTCTATCCCTCTTTTATTAGAAAATTATTGAATTGTAGGAATGAGTTTATATTTATATTTATCACATATTATCGCATTCAATCTATAGTCATCATGTAGACGTGCTCAATGACGACCTTTCATATCAAATCAATTATTATTTATTTATTTTTATTGTTTGAAAGATTATCTTGAGAACCCTCAATGTTTTTTATTATATCCATAACAATGATGGCAGTTATTTCATCTCTTGTCACGTCCATATCCACCACCATGGTAATGACCACAATTATTATTACATTATCATCTCTCTAATATTTCATATGCTATAGCATTCACTTCGAGGAATAAACTAGATTTAATGGGGCGAGCTTTATGATTTTTCACCAAAAACTTATTATTTTTACTCAGTCATAAGGAGCGAATTCAAGGCATGCAAAAACTTACTTTAATTTTGACCGCAAAATCGGATATAGAATCTTTAGTTTTCTGAAATAAAATTTAGATTTTGGAAACCATATAAAAGTTCTATAAGTTACAAAAATTAACAATTTAAAATATTTCAAATGTATATGACAAATTCATGATAAAAACAACTCGCTTAATTCTCGAAATCCAAACGTTCAATAGATTTGGCTAAAAGCAAACAATCAGACTCAGTAACGTGAGCAGTGTCAATTTATTATTATATTCAATCCGATTGTATAAGATCGAGTGAGTTTGAGTTTTATCGTTTTACTTTCTGCTCTAAATTAATTTCTAAGCAGTATTTCTACTTTATCAAGTTGAACAACATTCTCTGAGTCCGAACCCTTTTTTTCAAATAACCAGCTGACACTTAATTTATATCATAGTTAACATGCTTGCTTTAATGATAACTAATTAAACTTACACTTTCAACCTGCTTATTTCTGCTATTTAGGTAACTATCTAATGATCAAAATGATGGTAGATGTTTGGTGGGTAAAAATTTATGCCGTCTAAATTTTGCAGTTTCTCATTGGTGTAAAAGTGTAGAAGAAAAGAATGAAGTATAAATAAAGCAATTTTACCAGCGATAGATATCTTAAATAACAACATTTATTTTTCAAAAACCACCATGGTGGTGAGGGGTTAGGCCATGATCCCTACCAGTTTATTAATACCACAAAAAAAAAAAAAAAAAAAAAAA